GACACTCCACTCAAAGCACTTTTCAGGTAATGGGGACTCCATTCCACCACCACCAATAAGCAGCCCCACCTGGGTGAATACTGATCACAGATTACTGCCTAGTGCCTCTCACTTTGTGGCTGTAAAGTGCCTGCAAAGGTTCGTCTTGTCATATATCAACTGTACCTTCCCAGACTCCCTCCACCCACTTCACTTTGCTTACCACTCAGAAAGGTCTGTTTATGATGCAGTAGCTCTAGCACTTCATACGGCCCTTGGTGAAGAGCATTTAGACAGGCAGAGCACCTGAGCCAGGATGCTATTTATAGCTCACAGCTCAACCTTGAACACAGTTGTCCCTGCCATGCTGGTCCCGAAACTCAATAATCTGGGCTTTTGTAGCTCCGTCTGCAACTGGATACTGGATTTCCTGACTGGCAGACCTCAGGTAGTGGCAACTGGCAATAAAATCTCCTCTACAGTGATCCTTAATACTGGAGCTCTCCAGGGCTGCTTGTTAATTATAAAAATGTTCAGATTTGCAGATGACGCCGCAGTTACTGAGCTGATCAGTAACAGCGATGAGTCCGCATATGGGAGTGCGGTGGTGCCATGACAACGACCTGGCTCTGCACGTCTACAAGACAAAAGAGCCTATTGTGGACCTCAGGAGACCCAGAGGGAGTCGCGTCCCAATCCGCGTCGAGGGCACAACAGTGGAAACTGTCAGCTGCTCCAGATTCCTCTCTGTGCTCTTTTTCTGCAGCGGCGTAGAAAGTGTCCCCACTAGTGGCGTCACTGTGTGGTACAGCGATACTACCATGCATGACAAAGACGCAGTTAAAAAAGGTCCTGGCAATGGCACAGAGAGTTATAGCATGTGATTTACCACCAATCAGTGAGATTCACACCATCTGCTGTCACAATAAAGTCCAATCCGTCATTCATGATCCCAGCCATCCTGGCCACAAACTGCAACATTAAAACATGCATTTTGTGCTGGCTTACTCGTATCTATTGTCCTGTGTGTTCATTGTTTTGTGCTACCCGTTTTATGTTGTTGTGACTCAGTATTTATTGGTTGAAGAAGTTCGAGTAGGGAACGGTCAGCTTGCATAGGCTGCAAAGGAACAGGTAAAGGTCTATTCCATGCTAAAAGCTGCTTATTCTCTTTTCTTTTACTTTCAACATGGAGTAGACCTTTATCTGTTCCATTACTTATTATTTACTGTTCTGTAATGTGCACATCCCCAGAGAACAGCATAAATAAGAATCCCAATGTACATGTACACATGGCAAATAAATTCGGGGTGTCCAGCCATGGCCCAAAGTATTCCCTCTATTCTTACAGGTGACCCTAAATCGCCTGTTATTCAAGATCAGGATCACTTGTTGAAAGCAGTTGATCAATTAAGGGAGTAATGTTTGAATGAAGGAAGTGCTGGCCCTTGATGGATATTCTGATTTTGATCCTAGATGACCTCTAAATGACTTAATTGGCAACCCCACCTTTTTAATTGATAATGGGAATATTTTTCAGTTCTTGCTAAATCGGTGATTTAAAAGCTACCCCTCACACGTCCTGGAGAACACCAGTCCAGGATCAGAGTTAGAGGGGTCCAGTTTTTCCAGAAGCAGTTTGGGGTTTTTGACTCTGATTACTGTGAATTGCCTGTATTAAGTTTGCATTTTGTTTTACATAAAGGATGTTTGTACCATTTTGCCTTCTCACAGTATTTGAGGTACAAACCTGCATCGTTCGATTTGTTTGTGTCCAATTTGGCAGTTCTCACAGTGCCTTTCAAGGGCTATTGCTGTCTGCTTTAGCTTTCTTGTGCTTTAACTTGAACTTGAACTTTATTGCCATATGTAACCGGTACATGTACTGTTACAATGGAATTCTTACAGAAAGTCTCTCGATTGTAAAACAAGTGTAAAAACACAAAGTGCAAACAGTGCATCAAGACAGTATACAAACAAAAAGTAGACAGTGTACAAGTAAACATGTAGACAGTTTGAATGTAAACAATACAGACGCGTAAACAATGACTGGAGATGTACAATAAATAAGAAATCATAACGAGGTAGATGGTGATGGTGTAGGTGTGGTCTGAGGGGGATGGCTAAATGTGTTCGCCTATCTCACTGCTTGTGGGTAGAAGCTATTGAAGAATCTAGTGGTAAGTGTCCGTATGCTCTTATATCTCTTGCCTGAGGGCAGTGGGGTGAAGAGCTCATGCCCTGGGTGGTGACTGTCCTCTGTGATGGCCTGAATTCTACCACAGCAGCGGTCCTCATAGAGCCGTTTAATCTCGGTGAGACCACAGCCGATGATCTTCTGGGCCATATTGACCATTCTCTGCAGTGCCTTTCTTTCTCGAGAACTGGTGTTGCCGTACCACACGGTGATTCCTGTGCTCTCGATGGTGCAGCGATTTAGTTTTTATATTTTTAATTCTTGATTTAAAGTCGAATTTCCCACCTTCTGTCAGAGGTGGTATAGCCACATCCTCGCACCCGAAGAAGGCTCCACAGCCGAAACGTTGTGCTTCCTTTCTTCTCTTCTCAGCATGGAGTAAACCTTTAATTGTTCCTTGGTTTGATATGGTGTTTG